GGACTTGCCAGCACCCATTGTCTGCTCCCTTCTTCCTTCACCCTGCATTGTACTCTACTGTTTTTACTCTTTTCTTCCATTTATTGCTCTTACATTGGAAATCAGATACAACAGTCATAAAGAACAGCAGCACCAAAGAAATAAAATCCACAACAATAAAAGATGAGAAAAAGGAACTCTAGTTAATGACATCTATCTAGGGAGATTCCCCCTATAGGAAAGTGGAGCAATATGGAAGGACATTCAGAAGGAAGATAGCCCCTCAATGCACTAAAATTCACTTTGCATCTTGATATGACGGCCTTTTTAATCCTTTTAGTTTCTCAGAGCCCTACTTGCTGACTTCCTTTTCTTCTTCTTACCATTCTCATGCCTTCCTTGTCTCCCAGTTGCTCCTTTAGATTGACTTTGATTTGGGGAGGTTTTTTGTGTTATTATTAGAGCAAAGAATTAGGCACACAAAGAAAGATACTAGATTTTTTTACTAAGTGTCCAATAAAATTAGTGACTTACGAAGTTCCAGCACTGATTTGCCAAGTTTCTGTAACACCCGAGCTTCATTCTAGTTACGTAGGTGTGTAACCAAAGGGAAGGATCGCTACCAAAGGTGTCTTTGTTCAAATGGGTGGCCCTAGCTAGGGCCTTGGATGTTGCAGCTAACGTTTTACCATATAAAACGTCACACGAGGTAGCGGTGGAGTTTTCATTTGGTGAACAGAAACAGCACGGCTAAAATGGTAGCTCTCATTTAACACAACATTTTTCAACTAACACCAGTTAAGGAGCAGAACTGAGGGGACAGTATGGGGACACCCACCCTGGGGTGGTAACCTACAGCTAGGGTTGGGTGCGATCACCGCTAACCCATTTGTCTGGCATAGCTAGAGCAAGAAAGGAATCCGTACCCCCAGCCACATCTCTCTTGCTATACGTTTGATCTAAGTGCTGTGCAAGGTGTCAGGCACCTTCTTTCCTGTGGATCTGGTGGCTGATATGTGTTGTGTACCACACAACAGGTAATGGAAGTCATTATAGGTCTGCTAAAGTCTCCCTTAGGTTTAGGCTTTCCTAGAACCTGGTCTCATAGGAGTGTGACTATTCCGTGGAGTGAAGGAGCGCTCTCTCTGTACTGTGAGCTCTCATTGAATTCCTTCCTCATCCTGGAGGCAGGGTTGCCCAGAGCAGTTCTGAGATGCAGACCTCTTAATAGCGTGTTGGCAGATCTAATCAAGCCCACAGCACAGTCTGCGGCAACCCTCCTAAACCAAACTTTGCCCCTCTGCACTCGTTCTTTAGAAGTACTCGGCTCCCACCATTTCAAAGCAATCTTTTCAGAAAATCAATAGTTCTTCATCTCCTTCAGAATGAGAGCAAGTAGGACACTTGGACGTTTGCTTTGTAATCTCTTCAAAAATTGCTTTCTTGTCTTCCCAACAGAATTAGGAAATATTGCCGTACAAAAAAAACCCCAAACCTCAAGCTTTTTCAGCACAACATCTCAGTTGTAGGACCAATCTTTACATTTCTTTTCATTTAGGGATTACCCTAAACTCACTGGGCTGTTTATACCTTAGTCACACACATACATCCTTGTTCCTTGCACAGAGGAATTATTTATTCTCACAACTCCACTTTTCAGGAGCCTGCAGTAGAAACCTTCACCATTTTAAAATTTCCGTTTTCTCTCCCGCTTTGCTCTCAGTGTCCCTTTAGCTATGAAAATGAACCACTCTGCTCCTGCAGTGCCGAGCTGCTGAATCCAGTCGAGGAAGGCTGGCCGGGCTTCACATCCCCGTCAGACACAGCTTGACCTTTTTTCTCCTAATTGACAACGCAGGGCTTTGTGCTAATAGGATGACATCATTACGCAGAGCTGAAATGCTTTCCCTGCTGTCTCTTTTGTCTCTCAGTATTTTTCTCCCACACTTTTAGAGGAAGTATTTCACTAGGAGGGAGTGTAAGGAAGACAGTTACACAGTGCCTAAAAAACGTATGCAGAAAACAACCTCAATTTCTCTCCCTTCATTTTTCCTTAGTCACACCAGTTACCAACCACATACCCTGAGCCCTCACTATGTACTGAGCCTTCTTTTTCCTTCCTCCAGGTTGTGATCACTGATGTTTCTTCTCTGTATTTGCTTTGCCTCACTGTCCTGAGATATGCTGCTGGGGAGATTCTGGTTCCTCCTTGATTTTGAATTATAATTGTAGTTGTTAGCGTACTGTCCTTTTACAGCTCTAATTTTATTCAAACTACTTGTTAACAAAATCCTTGTGCATCACTCCAGCAGTAAATAATTAACTGAGTTGCCTAATTTTGTATTAAATTGTTGGCAGTTAACTTTTGCTGTGATGATTAATAATATAAAGTTTTAAAATAATACTTTGAAGAATACATGGAGGGGAAAAAGCCCCAGAAAAGTGGAAAATATTAAAATCTTTGTTTTAGCTCTCTTGTGAGATTGGCTCACCCATTTCAGTGAGTACTATAACCTTTTAAGATGCTGCCTTAAAGCTTAAAAAAAATGCCTTAATGTTGGTTGTCAATTGACAGCCACGTACCAAAGCATGCAGTCTTGGCTAAGCCAACAAACCAAATACATGTGATGGGCTTTCACTGGAGAAGGCAGAAAGAACAGAAATTTCCCAGTTCTGCATACCCCACTCTCTCTCTCCCCTTTCCTATGGCTGACATTAGGCACTAATGAAATGGATTCGCTCCGATCCCGGGTATTTCTGTGAATCTGTTTACCCTAAGCCATTTTAATTTGCACAGAAATGCGCTAGGAGCTGCAGCAGCAAAAGAGAAGGGTTGTATTGACCAGCTGGGAGAAGCAGCCTCTTAAATCACTCAAGCTAGCTCTACAGGACCATGGCTGTCTATAGCCTTGCTGCAAGAAAGGCAAGCACAAAAGACAAGACGAACAAAACACAGAGGAGAAAAGATTCAGGAGGGAGAGGAAGCAGATCCCATTACTATTCAAGACTATCCAAAGTTGGCAGGAATAGGGATTTATCTATTTTCCTCTTTTGCCCAATCAATGCCCATCTATTTCATAGAGGAGCCCTGGATGCCTGGACACGACAGTGATCTTTATGCCATCCTTTCCTTTCTGCATTTAAGCACTGTTCAAGAAGGCAATGACAACCGCATTATTAACATAACTTGTGAAAGCTTCTCTTGATTATTTAAATTGTATATACTATTTCTTTTTGCACATTATACTTAAAGATACATTAAGTATTTTCACCAGCATTCGTTTCTCACATTCTGTCATATGTACCTTCAACTTCAGTTAATTCCCCTAAGTTATTGTGAGTAATAGATGGAATTGGAGTTACTTTAAACAGTAAGCCTAAGCTTACTGTCTTTGCATGAGTGCCTAGTGAACTAGCTATCTGATATCTGTGAATAATAATTATTAATACAGTTTAGTATTTCTCTTATGTCTATAGCCTAATAAGATTAATGCTTTGTGGTACTCAGCACCACATAAACAATTAATATGTGAGTTTCAGCCTCAAAGAGCAATTAGGATAACATGGTTAAATCCCTGCAAACTACTGTGAAAAAAAACACAATTAACCTCGCCAAATTTAATCCCAGAGCCCAATTTATTATTATTCTTTTTATAAACAGGTTAAATACAGTGGGTGAAAATAGTGTTTAGAGTAGAAGTGCTGACAAAACCTTTACTGTGGCAATGTGGACAATGCAGCTGCAATAATGGCAAGTGTGCCCTTATCACAGCAAGAGAAATATAAGGATGTCTGATTTTGCACTGAATGAGCCATTACTTATGTCTATCACAAAGAAATAAGAGTACTGAACAAAAAAAGATACATTAAGGGTTTGTTTTTTTCCCGAAAGAAAACTAAAAATAAAAAAGATCAGATGTGACTCAGGCTTTCAAACAATAAAAATAGCAAGATGAAAGAACTAGGTTGCTTCATTGCCTAAAGAAATGGCTGGAATCTTAAAAAGTCTGAAACCTGATTGTGAGAGACTCACTTTATGGGCTGCTAAGAAGGTGCTGACCTTCGTCATCAATAGATTGTCTGAGCCTTTGTGGTATTCAGCAGTAAAGGAAGTGCTTAAAAAGTCATCCCGCTGAAAGATGGACTGGAAAAATCTCCAGTTCAGATCTCAGTATAGCTGTTGTCAGTGCACGTGCTCATTCAGAAAGTCTGTCTGTGAATCTAATACAGATAAATCTTGCTTCATTTATAAGTGATAAAAGTGGAGCATCCTCACCTTAGAGATGGATCAGGATATCTGGAATTCAATATAAGTGAAATTATTATCGAGGAGGGCAGCTAATGACCTATCTGTTGTGGGGTTTTGGATGTGTTTTGTTATAGTACTATATTTCTCTGTCTGTACTAGAGGACGTTGAAGAAGTGGGATGACACTTGTACAAGTACCAGTGGTATAATTTTCTTATACTTGCTCCGGAGTTTTGGATGCAGTTTCGCCTGTTCCAACATTTGCACTGAAATGAACTGTAGCAGATGACTGCCCTGTGATTTCAAATGGCCTTCTGGGAGAAAAAGACTATTATAGATGAAAGAGTTTGGTTCCTATAACTTTCTGGAAAAGTCCCATCACTGTCTAAGTACTAAATGAATACGGCAGTTGTCATTATATATGTCTTCTAGCAGGGTGGGGTATCGGGCTAACACAACTATATGGTTGCCGGTCCACAAGTGAGCTCGCTGAAAGACAGATGGGTACCTGCACACAATGCATGTGTCTTGCCGATACAGTCATGCTCTGGCTGAAAAATGTTGTGATGTTATCCTCTAGAAACTGTGCCGCATTGAGCATTCACAGCGGAGAGCACAAAATACAGATGGTCCACTAAAGACTAGAGCTTCTGGGACAGCAGGCGAGCTACAGCCAGGGCATCCTGAACCAGGCAGCTCGTACCTTACGCCGCGGAGGGAGGGAAAACAAAGCAAAACAGTGACAAGAGAAACCTCTGCCAGTTCTGATCGGGATGGGGGGAGGGAGAATTATTGCTGTCTCCAGCCCTGATGGCCAATTTGTCTCCCAGTTTCAGCGGGGCGTTCACGGGGCACATCCAATGTCAGAGCACGGGCTGTTGTCGAAGGGTCGGTGTAAGCAACTTGGTTCAGGGTACGAAACGTACCGTTGAGTCCCCTCTCCGCTTCCTAGCTGCCGCCCGCGCCCCGAGACCTCCGATCCATGAAAGTGTATGATCCAGCAGGCCCACGCTGGGGAACCTCTCCTGGAATTTGCTTCTTTCTCCACAGCCTCTGCCCTAAAAGGCAACTGCGATTCCCAGAAAGAGCGGCTCGCGCTGCCTACCGAAAGATTTTACCGAAACTGGGAAACAGACCTTTTTCTGAAGCGCAGCCCCACAGAATTCACGCCCCGAAGAGCTGGTAACAGCAATGTAATGGCTCAGTTTCAAAGCAGCCTAATCCCATCTGAGAGCTAATAGAAGAAATTCCTCTCTCCTGTCATCCATTTAAATCAATGCTGAATGTAGCTCGGAGGTTCTGCCTTGCTATATGCAGATTCGGCAAGATAGCACTGCAGCCTTTGGTGTTTAGAAAGGTTTTACTTCGCAACTGTAAGAGCAAAACCTTTTTTGGTTGAAATCAAAGTTTAAATTCTGAAGAAAAAAGGGCTCATCAAAGAACCGGCAAAGAATTTAACAACTAGGTGCCAGCTGAAGTGCCAGTGTGATTTATCAGCAGGTTCTTCTCTAATCTGATGTGAGATAATAGGAGGAGGTGTTGAAAGCAGAATCAAACTAGATACAGAACAAAAAGCGTAAGTAATAGGGTTCATAAGATCATGCACATAAGAAAGTTTATGTTATCTAGTAGGCAGGCCACTCTCCCCAAGACGGTTTTCTTAGATATATTGTGAAATCAACAGACAAAACCAGGAGATGTTAAAAGATAAGCGTTCTCATGTTCCTTCTGCATTTTTTTTTTCCATGGAAGCTTCTCCGTTTGAAGACATGTGGTTTCCTTACCGATAGACCCAACAAAGTACTTGGCTGTAGTAGCTGGTAGTGCCATGGACACCTCTTGGCAAAGATTAACCCTCAAATATGCAGAAAGCTGAACTTGCTTATGGACGATCAGGAAGATCATTCCTGAGAGCTCACAAATTTAGTTTCCTTCTGACTGTAGCGCTAAATTGTCTATCTCTATTCCCCTGCATAGTGATTCGTTACAAGCATTTTACAGTAAATGCTTCCAAAATAAAAACCAGACATTTTAACCAAAGTCTCAGGAAAATACTTAACTGACAAAGATAATAATTTTCTTAAAGCTTTTCCCTGGAAGTGTTTTTTATTGAGGCAGTGATTGAAGTGAACCTACTTGAGTTATAACGTGCTTCCATTGCACAACCCAAAGTCACGTTAATCAGCTTGAATACTTAAATATACAATAGGACCAGTATAAATCCAGTGATACAGCAAAGTTAATTTCAGGTGCTGGTCTACCAGAGAAATATTCGTGATTGAAGAATTATTGGTCTGTATTTCACTGCTTGTGCTCTGCTTTTTTTTATTCCATGGTAAATTATTTTAAACTCTTTAAGACAGTCTCATGGCAAACAGTTTGGTCCAGCCAATTTCCTATTCATGCTGATATCAACCCCCCAACAAATATAGGGCTGTGCCTTTGTGAGCTTTCTGGTGAAGAGCCCACTAATTCTCCTTGAGGGCTCCTTGGTACCATATGGCTGCTCAGAGGAAAATTCCTGCAAACTTGCATCTGATGTAGACACTTAAATCTCATTTTCTAGAGTTCTGTAGGACCTTCAGTGAACAGCTCACCCAAGAGGCTGTGAAAGTCCTGTGTTACCCCTCTAGAACACGGCATAGCCATGTACTGCTGGGCCACATGAAGGTCTACCACAGGTCCCATACGTGACAGTTATGTTGGCATGGCATGGCACCAAGATTATCAGGCGCATCCCCTCAGCTGGTCCTGGGGCTGGCTGGAGTATCTCTGCTCCACTGCACAGTGAAGATAAATCATAATTTCCTAAATTACCTAGTGCTGAAGCCAGAACTGAAAAAAGCAGCTTCTAGTCTTTAGGCTATGCTATGGTTTGTTTTAAAAAGGAATTGAATTTCTTACAAACAGGTAAAATTGCTGCCAGATGCAAGTACATTAGCCTTTTCCAGCTGCTTTACTGCTGCCATTCAAAATAGCTTGCTATAAATATGATTCCTTTGAGCTCTATTCTGACAAGTGCGGAGCACTATCTGGGAAGGGCCAGTGGTTTTCCATCCACATTGAACTCGGTAGGAGTTGTGATTGCTCAGCACATTGCTGAAAAAAGTCTGCTGAAATTACCTTAAATCACACAATTATCCCCTCACCTCTCGCTCTTTCTCTTGCAGCCATGGAAAGAGGAATAAGTTTCTCCCCAGGCAGTTCTGCTACAGTAAAGTTTCCAGCCTGGAGGTTGTGAACAAATGTCAAAATCAACAAGTTCCCGCTTCAGGGCCGGTGACAGTCCCGGCTGCAATCTGGCTTAGCCAGGGGAGGGGGGGGAAACATAACAAAGATTCGAAACCCTATTTTCATTAGAATTCAGTATCAGCTTCTCATATGGCTTAAAATGCCTTCGCCTCTTCCCTTTAACCCTTCATATACATTTCTGCCCATCGCCTCATGCCCATTGCCCTAAACGATAAAGGTTCGCCATGCCACAGCACCCAGCACACGTGCCGGCGGCTCTCACGAGCGCAGTAGCGCGTACTGTAGGGCCCTCGCTAAAACTCAACAAGTTGCTTACTGTTTAAAATATGTTTCTGGCTGAACAGAAACACATTTATTATGCATCTTTCCTTTGTATAATCTGTACCTGTAGTTAAGTACATTTAACTGATGTTAAACCTATGGAGGTCTGTTGAACAATAACACAAGGTTAAAGGTTGAGTGCTTATGCTTAACAAGCCACTCTGAAAGATGGTCCACATTAAAGCTATTTACAATTAAGCTTTTCATAATCGATGGAAAAACTAAGAACAAAATTACCTGTGCCTTCCACCTTTTCACTATGAAGTCAGCAGAGGCACATGAAAAATCAACATTTCCTTTGAACCCGAGTGAAATTATGAGTTTACAAGGCAGACCAAGTCACCTTTCTTATTGTATAGGAACTAGTGTTGAGAAAAGGCTCGATTCTGCACCTTCTTGTACCAGCGTGAATCCACTACCAGTTCCCTGAACTGAGAATTAGGGCGTTAATTACTGCGGGAGGGTTGCTTCTTCGTAGCGACACGCCAGTGTCCTTTGCGGACAGTTCAATAAGAAATGGCTTTGAACTCCAGATCTGAATTTGGCTCAAACGCAGCTGTAGCTGGGACCCCTTTGGAGGTCTGCTTCATTTTTTAACACCCTTCTCTGACATCAGTCACTGTGCTTACCAGCTCTCAAAAATCAGGCCACAGTGATTTTTTTTGCACCCAGTAACAGCATATAACGTGAGTCAATCAGTCACACGGTTTTGGTTGTTTTTCTTTTGATTAAAAGCCAGCTTTTTCCCTTCTTGTTGCAGATACAAGAAACTGATACACTGGGATTACTTTACATGAACGTCTGTTATTGAGAGCTGTCAAAAATACTTAAGATGCTTTAAATTTTTACACAGGAAAGAGAAAGTAATTACAGTCAGTCTGATATTCTACGTAGTAACTGTTGAAGAGTTTTCTCTCATAACGGTGCCTACAATATGCCTAGCGGAGAAAGCATTTCCATGCTTTTTTTGGCTTTACAATGTGTTAGCATTCTTAACTTTTCTACATTTTCTCCTAGGACTCTTTCTTTGCTCAAGCTAAGGCATCAGAAAGCAACATTGACTTCCAAAAAAATCTCGTAAGCATGGATGGCAAGAATCAACCTTCTCAGCAAATGCACAGTAGTAAGGAGTCAAATGCAGCAGCAAACAAATTGAATGATATTCCAGAAGAACCGCAAAAGGTCAAAAACCACCTTGGGGATGGAGCAGCAGAAAATATAATGGAGAGGATAGAAATGGCAGAGAAAAAGAAGGAAAAACAAAGTAATGATGTAGACAGAGCAAGCCATAAAGAGAAATCAGAAAACAATGAAAAACTAGCTGTGAAAAAAGAAGAAACAACTTTAGAGACTGGCAATCAGTTAATACTGACACCTCTGTCTCATATTCCTCTGAAAAGCCTAATGGACATAGAAATGGAGTTGGTCTACACTGATGAGGAGGACATTTCCTTTGAGTTTGCTGAGCCTGTGGAGTCTACAAGGACACAATCAGCGTGTCATGATTCTGAAAAAGCAGCAGCTCTGAGCACACCTAATGGCAATGCTTTGCCCCAGATCGACAAACAGCTTCAGATGACCCTCCAGGAAGCCAGCACTTGCTACAGGCGGAACAACTATGCAGCAGCAGCAGAGCAGCTCTCAACAGCACTGAAGGTATGAGGTTAAAGAAGTACAATCACGATAGCAAAGTAAATGAAAGGCAGTAATTGTACTGACTGGGTGTAATAATATCAAAGTGAACACGGAGCACAAACCTGGGATGCATACAGTTTAATAAAAATTCTGAGATGCAATTTCACGTGAAATCTGCAAATTAAGAGCTATAAATAAATCATGGAAGGAGAGGGACACTGGACTGAGCCAAAAAATCTCAGGTGATTTCATATTTTTCTCCAAGTCAACTATTAATATGTGGAGGAAGTTTAAGTCTTGAAAAAAATATATATATTTTTAATCCCAGCTCTAGCAGGAACAAGCAGTATGTCAATAATCAGGGGAGTTCCCACTCTACCCCAGCTGCCCATGCACTACTGGGTGAAATATTTAATCCTTTGGTTAAACAAAAGGTCCGTTTTAGTCTTTTCTCCCTACAGCATTTCCATCATGTACTCTGTTGCCCTTTTTTCTCTAAAGTCAGACAATGGCCACTGGATGTGTGTAGAAATCCTTTTATTTCTGCATGAGAAAGAACAGGTCCAGTAGCAACCAAAGGGCAACGCATGTCCAGAGAAGGGCAACGAAGCTGGTGAGGGGTCTGGAGCACAAGTCTGATGAGGAGCGGCTGAGGGAACTGGGGTTGTTCAATCTGGAGAAGAGGAGGCTGAGGGGAGCCCTCATCGCTCTCTACAGCTACCTGAAAGGGGGTTGTGGTGAGGTGCGTGTTGGCCTCTTCTCCCAGGTAACCAGCGATAGGACGAGAGGAAATGGCCCCAGTTTGCACCAGGGGAGGTTTAGATTGGATATTAGGAAAAATTTCTTTACAGAAGGGGTTGTCAAGCATTGGAAAAGGCTGCCCAGGGAAGTGGTGGAGTCACCATCCCTGGAGGGATTTAAAAGACCTGTAGGTGTGGTGCTCAGGGACGTGGTTTAGTAGTGGACTTGGCAGCGCTAGGTTAAGGGTTGGACTTGATGATCTTAAAGGTCTGTTCCAACCTAAACAATTCTATTATTCTATGTGAACAACCCCCTCTGGACACAGCCAGCTTTCTCTTCAGCAGCAAAGAGTCCAAAAGCTGAGGTTTTTTTGTGGAAAGACGACTTGCCTGCCTGAAATACTAAAGAAACAATATGACCTTGGCTATGATCTCTGAAACTAATCTGTGATTCTCATGACTTTCTGCCTTTAAGTGCTCAAACTTGAGCTGTCTTAAACAGATCTGTTCTTCAATAAGTAGGTATTCTATGTTTTCAAAAGGAGAGCCCTTTCCAGTTTCAGGCTGAACCCCTCAAAAAGGAAATATTTAAAGACCTTTGACGCTTCTGAAAATCTTAGTCAGCCTTGAGTTTTATCAGTATAATATGAGAAGAAAAAGTAAAAGAGGGAGTTCTTAACACTCTGGCAAGTTTGCAATTAATTTCACAGGGGGGAGGGAAGAGAAAGGAGGTGTAGGAAATCCCAGCAGGTGAGTCAGGGTTACATCCACCAGCCTCCTGTTTCCTGGAAGCCAGAGCTAGCAGCATTTACAGTAAAACTGATTGTTCAAAGTTGTATCATTATTCCCAGATTTCTCTAGTGCTGCTAATCTGAGTTAATTATATTGGAAATCCCTTGTATTATGACCATGTAATTCATAATGTGCCAGTAGAAGTCATGGTTCATAATAATCACATAATGGGCAAGGACTTAGACGTAATCAGATTTTAGTTACCCTGTCGTGTTTCCATAATGCTCCTATAAAACCGACATAATCACAAAAAAGCACCAGTTATTTAAACATTTTTATCAGATTGATGTACAGTATCTTTCTTTCTCTCTCTCTTTTTTAAACAATGTAAGATAACAAAAATTGGATTACAATTGCTGGGAACAGACTATGATAAACTGTTTGCTTGTGTGCAGAATGAAATTTAATAATCGCATCAGCCTCTCAATTTTTAGTAATGTTAAACCTGTTAAATAGTAGCACTCTGCAGCCAAAGGTTCCTTTCAAAGAGGTAGCATTAGAGCATTTTGAAAACTGTATCTCCAAGAGCATAGCTTATAAACCTTGAAAGATGCCTTACATCCTTCACAATTAACCCAGCTGCTAACATTTACTGTGCAGATGAGGGCTTGACTTTTTCCATGATACAAAAAAAAAAACCACTCTTAGTAGCTGTAAGGATTTTAAAGGCTAGTGTCTGCTTCTCAAATAAAATAAAATATTTTTTTTTAAAAAAAGAGACACACTTTCCACTTCACAGGAATATGGTTGGCGATTAGAATAGAGGACTTGCAAGTTGGACTCTCTAGACTCTCCCTAATGTTTTATCTCCACTCTGACCCCAATCACTTCAGCTATGCACTTGACATCCTGAAAATGGGTCCAACTATACTTGTTTCAGCACTGTACTGCCAAACTTAATTCAAAAGCATTTGTAAAACATTAGAGGTTTGCAGCTGACAAGAAAATATCCTATTCCTATTTTTTTCTACAGTACTGAAAGCATTTTATTTTAAAACAATAAATATTACAGCAGTGAGTGAGTAAAATTAGAAAGTGCCATCCTTTTTAGGCTTTTTTTTTTTTTCTCCTACACTCAGAAATGAGCTATGGTCAGGAGAAAAACACTTGTCACTTGAGAGGAAAGGGGTATTTTCCCGTTCCTAACAGAAAATGGAAAGCTAGATAATAGACATCCTGGTGAAAGAATTAAGTAGAGATTAAAGAATTCCTTCCTGGGATTGTGGACAGCGCGACTGGGAAATCACAGAATTGTAGGGCTGAGGCTTCTCAGCAGTCTCTTAATCCAGCTCTCCTCAGAAGCGAAAAACAGAATATCCCTGACAGACTCTTCTGTACTCTTGTTTCTGAAAATCTCCAGTGACACGGAATTCTTGTCTGTATCAGCAAGCTGACAAAGTTTCTCCCAATCTTCCATGGTGCAAAACTGCCCATAATGCTTTTCGTGTCCTTATTTGACTTGAAGAGCTTTTAACCACCCTATTGACTCTGTCCTTGCAACCTCTTAGCATAGCTCTTCTCAGTCTCCTCTAAAGTAAACAAACTCAATGCTCTTAATATTTCCTCCTAGATCATGTTTTCTAAACCTCTTTATGATTTTTGTTGCTTTTCTTTGCATCACCTCTAATTTGTCTGTCTGGATATAGACAAATTGGAGATGGTGCAGAGAAAACTGGAAAACTGAAGCTGCTGAGATTGGAACTGTGGTTGTTTTGCCCATCGTACCTTGAAGAAATAAACAAAAATTCCTGAGCATTTCACACAGGCGAAGAGACACGTGATACGTAACAAACTCAAAGGTCAGGAAATTCAAAGATGGTTTCTGGTGCAAAATGTTTACAGACATTTTTCGAATGTAAGGCTTTAGTCTGACATTACAACATTTCAAATTAGACACTCTGATCCAGAAAAGCGTGTGCACAGTGTTACGTTTGAATAGTATCACTAAAGTTAGTGCTACCTTACATATTGCAAATATCATACATTTCTTGGCTCTTATTCAAGCCAAAATGTCTTTTCCAGATCTTCCAGATATTCATGTCGTATTATCATTCTTTAAATCATGTTGTTTTTCAGCTATGCAAATAACAGGCAGTTCTGAAAGACTAGTGCTGAAATTATTGGATTGGGGGGGGGGGGGAAGAAAGGAAAATTATTAGTCAGGAAAATTGAAATGCTTGTTTAATTTGGAGACTTCTATATGTTGGACGGCATGCTGCTGATTACCGCAGACATGGGGAAGGCAGGGTTATCAAAGAGAAAAATGGGTGGCTTTTCACTATTTCTGCACTATTTAACTACCATTAAATTAATCAGGAGGGACTTAGTGTTAGTCAGCTGCATTATAGTTGGCCTGGGAGAGGAAAAAATAATGCTCCCTTGGAGAACTCTCACTATTAGAGCTTAAGAATTAAGTACTTTCTGTTGCTAGTGAGGAAAATAGCTGAAGAATTGGGGCAACAGTCTTCGCTCTTCTACCTCCTAGCTCAATAACAGAGTATATTATGTATACACGCACTACGTTGAGAAACACTGTAAATTTCCCTAAATTTTTGGCATCCATCTGTTGGAACATAGGGAAATAGGTCTTGAACATCTGGACTGGGATATGAAGGGTATGAGAAATCACTCTTTAGCTTAAAACCTCTGTGGAAACCATATACGTGTATCTGTAAAATCTCTAGCCAATTAATAACGGCTTAGCTACAAAATAACATTAAACCTTTATGAGGATTGAAAGATCTTGTCTCAAACTAATCTGCTAATATCAATGAGCGTAAAAGACTTCAGAAACATCAGCCTGTTTAAAACTGCACAGATTTAAATTTCAGACCCCGTTGTTCTGAAAATAATCGTCCCCTGCGATTAAAAAATAAATGAAAAAAGGTTCCTGACTGCTGTGCACAGGAAGAAGTCCACAGTATCTCAGCACACAGCTTTCAGCATAGGACATCTGAGAGGCACGAAATGCATCCCGCGTGTGAGGTGAAGGCCTCAAACGGCGCGTGATTAATTCACCAGAGTGCTGTTGTGGTGCCTTCCACAAGCTGGAATATCTCCATTTTCCACAGATGGCTATGACGGGCACCGTTCCCATGGCAGGGAGATAAACATTAGTGCCATCTTTTTTTTGCGCACCTTGAGTTTTTAGATTAACCTTTCCTGTGGCTCATTGCCTTGTGATTCAGTGCTGCAGAGAAGGCTTTATCGAGACCACGCTCCCTCTTCCAGGCAGTAATATCTGCAAAAACCAAATATGTTGAAAGCGGCTGTGGCGCCGGTGCCTTGTGGACATAATTACGTACCAGTATAGAGTTAGGCAGCGTGGTTCAACCCAGACTTCCATCAGTTTTGTAATACGAGAAGCAAAAAATGAGTATTTCCTATATAAATACTTAAGTGAAAAGAGGTTCATCTCAAGTAGTCTATCGGCTGGTAGAGCAGGTTAGAAAAGCACAGGCGGCTTTCTTAGAGGCACTGCTATAAGGG